CGCACGCGGCTGTAGGCTACGACGCTGGTAGCTGGTGTTGCCAGATTGGGTGTTTTTCCCGCTACATATTAAGGCCTGTTTACGGTGTGATTAAGCCGGGGTTTCTCCTGGAGGGCTTTATAGAAATCTAGCAACCTATTGAATGGAGCTGAACTGAGAGAGCGTGCCGTTCACAGACACCAGAATGAACGAGTTCACAATAACGTTCATCAGGCAGTAATACAGTACGTTCAGTTCACGTTCGCCCAAAATATGAACGAGTTCATGAACTTTCGTTCAATGAACGCGTTCAGGCACAACACTGAAGGGCTGTGTGGCTGCAGGTTTTTCTTTCCAACCAAACAATAGCACACCAGACTCTATTCATATCATCGAGTCATCGTGTTCAAATTGGACTCCTGCTGAGTCGCAGATCCGACAAAAAATAAAGAAACGTCTTTTGTGAATCACATTTGTATGTTTGCTTGAAATTCTAGGTCCATAGTTCTGAGGCTTGACACACTTGTTGAATTTCATGTGGCACTACAGCCCCACAGTAGGAGAAAAAGTTAAATAAAATTAAAACAAGAACACAAATTTGCTGTTTCATGAGGCAAAATCCCTCCGGAATGTCAAAATTACAATAAAAAAGTTATTCCTTTGACATGTAGGTTTTATGAATTAAGTTCTTTTATTTCAATAATTTATCAGAATGTGACCTTCTGCTTCCTTTATTTTTGATTAATGTTCCGTTAATTATTATTTTACTTACGTCTCTGTGGCTCCTTCTGTATTGGTTGTATTTATTTTCTTTTATTATCCCCGCTCGCTGCTTTCCATACAGTTAAATTCCTCCTTTGTTTCAACTAATCAGCTTTACCCCATTTATCTCTCCGTCATCATATTGACGGCTAGATTAAAACCCAATTTTTGTTTGGTCTGTTTTCACCTTAATTTTTTTTCTTCTTTTGTTAACATTTTGATTTTACTTTATTAAAAGAGTAAGGACTGATATCTTTTTTCTTTCATCTTTGTTGTAATTAGTTGTTCTTTAGTTTCATAACTGTTGCTCTTTGCTAATATTGCAGTGTTTCTATTTTTAAATAATTACACACTGAAATAGATTTTATAGATATTTACAACAGGAGTTTCCACCCAGGAGCTCCATGTCCTCAAATTTTAAGATTCAGCATCCACTGATTTCCATTGATGGCTGATCAAAAGGCTTCAGCTATAAAGAACTTTCCACAATGCAATCTTTGTCCTTTAGGTGAAATAAACTCCAAAATGAAAAGGAAAAATGAATCACACACCTCTCAGCCGACATTCTGCCTGTGGATGAAAAAAAGCAAAAGTTTAGAGCAGAATTAGAAACAACTCAAATGTTCTCAGTGAATACTAACTGGAGGCACTTGTGGTTAAGATATCTCCATCTAAACTACCTCAGTCACCCAACCTTTGTGTAGGTAGACTTCCATTAACTTTAGAAGGCAATTCTCATGATAGAGACATGTCAGTAATCTTATTTAAGTCATACTTACATCAGCTTCAGCCCAGAGTCCAAAGCTCAGTCCAAGAAGAAGAGTCAAGGAAAAACCTGAAGCCATCTGTGGAAAGAACCGTTGGGACGTTAGAGTGTTCAGAGAATTCAAACACAAAATGCAATCTGTGCTGCAGACCAAGTACAGCAAATCAATTAGATCAAGTCTAGATGAAACAGCATGAGGGACAGCAAGGTTCCAACTTTACCGTGTTTCAGTTATTAGTTGAAGAGTCTGTTCCAGGAGCAGTTTCTGGTCACAGGATGTCAGAGAAATGGAAACGCAGACTTTATATATGTCTTTGACTTTATTTGCATCTTATCTATAATCACATTCTCAAATATTGTCTCAGCTGAGCTGATATTATTTAATTAAAAAAAACTATTGACTCCAAACCGTTGAAATGTCATGTCTGCCCCAAGGCTGTTTGAAGTAGTTGAACAAACAAACATCTCCAGTGGGTTTTCCTGAACAAAGATCAATGTGTATATTCAAACTGTTGTAATGTCCTATTTGCCACATGGTTGTTTAAAGCTGAGCTAATCTAGTCGATAGCAGGTTTGCTCACTAAACAGCAGACATCCCAAGTCTCCCGGAAGTTCCGAGAGTCTCCCTGATATAGATAGTTGTTCACGGATGCCCACGAGTCAGATAAATTATCCTGGATTTTATACTATGTGAGGTGGTGTTTTTTTTAATGCGAGTGAGAGCGTGCAGGCAGTACAATAATTCATGCATTATGTGCAGATTAGAACTACTTTGATTGCACAGGAACAACAAGAGAGAGCAGGGTGCAGGGAGGAGGCTGCTTGTGAAACCTGTTCAGCGTATCTGTCCAAAGTGATGCTCTGTTCAACCAGCGTTCCAGGCGACTGGTTGATCAGAGAGCTGATTGGATCAGTCCGATAAGTTTCTCTGGGTTACTCTCTGGCAGTCACCTAGTTACCACTCAAAGCTGTGCATCCTGGGAAACGGCAGAGGTTGAATCCTCGAGTAAAAAACTAAAATATAGGAGTAATTTTACAGCAGAAAATACTAAAGAATATCCACGTCTAGTGAAGGTGAGGAACAGTGGCGGATCTAGACCAAATGTACCAGGGGGCCAGGAGGGGGCCAGCGTGTTTTCATGGGGGCCCAGAAAAGCATGAAATAAAAAACGTGGCAAGAGATTCAAATATATTAAGAGAGCTGCATGAAGGGAAATTTTTGTTAATTTAGGTTCAATAAAAATTCTATTTCTTAAGAGGTCAATGTACATTTATAATTTAGGAATTTTACATATTTTTGACTTAAAGTTACAGTGTGTAATTTTCAGCGACATCTAATGTCCAGACTGCAGACCGCAGCAACATGAACATCTCCCCCCCACCGCTTCTCCCCCCCAACAGTACGGCGAGCGTTACGGGACAAAATGTCTTCCACGACGTCCACATCACCTACCTTCTCAAGTGATGAGGTTTGTTTACATAGATAATTTTACAGATAGTATTTCATTAGTCTGTGTAGGGTATAGATTTCATGTAGACTTAAGATAATAAATATACCCGTTATTTTTTCTACATCGTTGTGACGTTTTGGCGATCTCGCAATCGCTAGTTTGTTGGCTCTGCGCTGCCGTAGCGCAAAGATGTCTGCCTCCATGGCTGCGAGACCCGCTCCTATGTAATTATAAATAACCAATTCTAACGCAACGCAAATATTAAGGTTAAGAGGCTGAGCTCGTAGATGATGATAAATAACATAGTTATGTATAATATATTACATTTCTGACTGTATATCCCTGTAATTATTACACACTGTAGCTTTAATATAAGTTAAAATTACAGTTTTCCATTAAATTTACATTAGAACTCAAGAAAAACTGTTAAATTCATCTGTAAAAATTAGGGCATATTTTCATTTGTTGTGGGGGAAAAAAAAACATTTAGCAGATTAAAAACTGGGATCCTATATCAATACCACTGAAGCTATCACCTTATTGTTTTTGAATAATTAGTAAAACAGAATATGAAAAGAAATAAAATTGAATAGATCCAAAGGACCTATCAGTAACCATGTCTGTTCCAGGGCATATAATCATTATAATTTATTTCAGCATTATGTCCTCAGTACAGGATCCAGGACATGATCCACAGGGCCCCTGTAGATCATGTCCTGGGTTTGAGGATATGCATCTCCCTGTAATGAGTTTTTGGAACTTGGGATGTCTGGAACAGAGTTTCCTCTATGTCTGCTTTCATTAAAGCCAATCAATTTTTTTTTATTAACTAATTGAATTAGCAGAGATATGTTACAGTTTTGTGCATAGTGTACATAAAAAAAATCATTCGCTAGGTCCGTTAGAGACATTAGGTTTTAAGACAAACATTGCATGTCCGATTGACTTAGACTTAGACTTCTTTATTTGTCATTTTGTATGCACAGAGTGCATACAGAACGAAATTGCGTTACATACAGCTTATGAACATTGCATTGATATTTCAAATGGCACAAGTTATACAAAAATACAAAAAGTGCAGCAGTGGTCAAAGTGTGAACAGTGCAGAGGATAAGAGACAGTGTGCAAAATGCAGTGGTTCAGTGCAAATAGGCATTTGTGCAAAAAATGCGTTATTGAAAATAGAGATGAGATGAACAATTAAAGGGCTAAAAGTTAAAAGTTCAGCAGCATTTGATGCCCGATAATGTGCAATAGGTGCAGAGTTTGGTTTGTGGATCAAAGGTTCAACAGTCTGATGGCAGTGGGGAAGAAGCTGTTGCACAACCTGGTGGATCTGCAGCGGATGCTGCGGAACCTCTTCCCAGAGGGCAGCAGGGAGAACAGTCCATGGTGGGGGTGTGAGGGGTCTTTGATGATATTACGGGCTCGGGACACACAGCGCTGTGATGAAATGTCCTTAATGGAGGGAAGAGGAGCCCCAATGAATCCTTCTGCTGTCCTCACCACCCTCCTCACATTCTTCCAGTCAGAGGCTCTGCAGCCTCCACACCACAGAGAGAGACAGCTGGTCAGAACGCTCTCTATGGTGCTTCTGTAGAAGGTTGTGAGGATGGGCGGGGGCAGGCGGGCTCTCCTCATCCTCCGCAGAAAGTACAAGCGCTTCTGTGCCCTCTTCACTAGAGATGAAGTGTTTACAGTCCAGGTGAGGTTGTCCGTGATGTACACCCCCAGGAACTTTGTGCTGCTGACCACCTCCACAGCTGAGCTGTTGATGAGCAGTGGAGCATGGTGGGGGCGGTTTTTCCTGAAGTCGACGATGATTTCCTTCGTCTTCTCCACGTTCAGGATCAGACTGTTTTCACTGCACCAGCCCACCAGCTGCTCCACCTCCTCTCTGTAGTCCCGGTCGTTGTCGTCCCTGATGAGGCCCACCACCGTTGTGTCGTCCGCAAACTTCACGATGTGATTGGTGGTGAACCTGGGGACGCAGTCATATGTCATCAGGGTGAACAGCAGGGGGCTCAGGACGCAGCCCTGAGGGGAGCCCGTACTGAGGGCGATGACGTCAGAGGTGTTCTGACCGACCCGGACCGACTGAGGCCTGTTGGTGAGGAAGTCCAGCAGCCAGTTTCGAAGGGGTGTGTTGAAGCCCAGATGTTCCAGCTTTTCCACCAGGTGCTGTGGGATGATGGTGTTAAACGCTGAACTGAAGTCCAGGAACAGCATCCGCACCTGGTTGTTCTTCTCCTCCAGGTGGGCCAGGCTCAGGTGAAGAGCAGAGGAGATGGCGTCCTCCGTGGAGCGGTTTCGCCGGTAGGCAAACTGGAACGGGTCAAGTGTTGGGGGGAGACTGGAGACGATGTGTTCCTTTACCAGCCTTTCAAAGCACTTCATCATGATGGGAGTCAGTGCGACGGGCCGGTAGTCGTTGTAGCAGGTGACTTGAGGTTTCTTTGGCACTGGAATGATGGAGGCAGACTTGAAGCATGCCGGCACTGTGGCTTGCTCCAGCGAGGTGTTAAAAATGTCCGTGAGGACACCAGCTAGCTGACCTGCACACTCCTTGAGCACCCGCCCAGGTATGTTGTCGGGACCTGGGGCCTTCCGCGGGTTGACCCCCCTCAGCGTCTTCCACACGTCGGCTGTGTCAAGGCAGAGCACCTCCTCTTCCTGATGTGGGACAGCCTTCACTGCTGGAGTGCGATTTAGTTCCTCGAACCTCCCAAAGAAGTTATTTAGTCCGTTTAGGAAGTCAGCATCAACTTCATCCACCGGGGCAGGGGGCGTGTTGTAGTCTGTGATCGCCCCTATGCCTTGCCACATGCTCCTGGTGTTGTTGGCGTCGTGGAACAGATGCTGGATTTTCTGGTTATGGTTCCGCTTTGCTAACCTGATGGCACGGTTCAGGGTGGCTCTAGCTGTCCTCAGTGCCTCCTTGTCATCAGACTTGAAGGCTGAGTTCCGTGCTTTTAGCGCGTGGCGGACCTCCTCAGTCATCCAGGGCCGTTGGTTGGCTCGGGTGGTGATGGTCTTTGTTGTGCTGACGTCCTCGATGCAGTGGTAGTGACAGGGATCCTTTTAAAGAATGATATGCATTAATTCAGAAAGAATTAAACATTTATGTGGATAGGATTCAGACAGGATGTGAGATTTATTTGTTTTTGGGTTTGTATAATATAAGGCACACACTTTCTTTTACAGTTCTTGAAGAACTACTTAATTTTTCTTCACATTACACACAAATAGATTAATATAATTCCTGTGTGAAAAAACAATTACTTCAGGGTTAGGATTAGGATTCATTTGGTGATAACTACCTACTGATCCTACTGGTAGTTAGGAGGCAAAGTCTGAAGCCATCCTCTGGAACTGATAACCGCTAATAACGGCCATTTATTGGGATAACATCCCAAACGGCCACAAACACACTTATTATTTACTGCGCAATGGATGACAGAATCAACATAAGGAAGAACCCCATGAGATGATGAACAGGTCCTACCTGTTTTTAGACTTCATCTTCACCTGTTGCAAGGTGATTTCACCTAAATAGAAAACTTTGCCTACTTTGATCTAATACCATTCAAGCAATACACTAGTGCCCTCTGTAATAAGGATCCAACAATACCAGATTTTTTGTCAAACCGAGTACCATTAAAAGTACTTACATTTCAGTACTTGCCGATACAGAGTACCAATACGAGTACTAAGAAATGTGATTAACTCCATGTAATTAATTTGATAATGTTTTATTTCAATTTGGCTCATTAAACAGAAATGCACTTTGTATAGTCTTAATTGTATAGATCTGCCCACTTATTATATTTTTAAGACATAGAACACCACTTTTAGTCCAATCAATGCTTTTAGTGTAACATAGATTATAACATTTACAGAAAAAAAATAATACATTTACTATTTAAAGATAGGCTAGTCTTGGGATTGTAGGTGAAAATCAGTACATCATATCATCAAGTAACTTAAGTTTACTGTGTATTATGTTAAATGCAAAA